GGGGGGGGACACAGGTGGCGGAGTGGTCCGAAAGTTTGTCCAACAGAGGGAAAGACGGGCTAGTTCTGAGCAGTGTCCTGGACTCTCTGCACCTGAACATATCAACCCAACGAGCTGCATCCGACCACCGCAGCAGCAGAGGGCGCTCTGGCGCTTCGTGCTGCACCCGGGGAGAGAAAACAAAAAACGCGGGAGCCATTTTCTGTCCGCCACAACAGGAGGCAGACCTCTCGCTCTGACCGTGCTGTCGTTGGGCAGCGTTCAAACGCGGCCCGGTGGGCACGAGCTGGCACGGCTCGTGTTTATGCACACTATCATGTAACAGGAACGCTGAGACTTTACGGTTTTCCTCCGGCCTTCACAAAATTGGCACGCTGGCGGCGAGGGCAGGACTGAGTGGTGTTCACGGTGCTTCACAGATGTAAGAGGAGAGAGTAGACGGTAGATTCTGCTGAAAGTTGCAGTTGGCAAACTCTGCGCAAAACCCTCACGAGCGTCACGACCACACGGCATCTACTTCAGTTTCCAGAGGAAAAAAACCTTTCAAAACTTAGTTTTATAAACTAGAGTAGCTGCAGTCAGCATATGTAGATGGCAGGTTTTTGGTGCTTTTAAAAATGTACAATAAAACTGCATCAGAAAAGTTAAATGATACATATCGTTTGTAGTAAAGTGAACTGCATTGAAGGGGAGATAAGCAAGTGAATGCAACCTAAATAGCAATAATACCTTTCTGTATATACAGATCTTGAATAGCTGTAATATTTGGCACCTTCTGTGCCAGTCAAATATTTTTGAAAAGATTATATTCTAGCTTTCATGGTCCCAACGGAGAACAAGTATAACTGAACTAAGAAATGTATCAGTGGATTTACATTTCCCACCGATCCAATGTTCAGTTCCTTACTGTGAAAGACATAAATGGAAAATAATTTAACTTGAATGAAATATTGAGTTTGATTTCACGGAGGCAATAAAAGAAACATCACCATATTGAGTGTAATTTCTGTTAGAAATATGCCCTCCATATAAACGTAACCAGATGATATTCATTTAAATATCTATACATTTTTCTAAAGTCTACAATTTGGACATCTGGGTTTTTTTTCACAGCTTGAGCTTCGGTGGAGTCAGAACCACTTGAAACACGTGACATAAGTGAGTCAACTACTTCTCCCGCTGTCATTGATCCGCTCAAAGAACAAAAAAAAGACATTGCTGCAGTTCAAGCTATCAAAATCATAAGATACATAAATACTTAATGCACACTCCACATTCAATCAAAAGGTTTTCTGACAACTCCTTCACATATAAAATGGACAACAAGCTCACCCTTCACAAGGAGTTTTAAATACTGACAGTATGCAACATGAAGCCAACTTCAGCACTATTTTATGTCTAGCAATAAGCATGCCCGCCCTGTTTTTAAAGTAGTTCCTTGAAGCAAAAGTTCAAGGATAATTGCTTGATTAATAACTGAACGTCCTGGCAGCGTACGTGGACGAGCATCCAAATGAGCTTTAATGGGGCCGGAGCAGGAACTCCCCGGCCTTCTGTATACTTTAGATCCACTTCCTGAACAACATTAAGCGGTTTTCCTGACGGTGGAGTATTTGCCGTACCGTGAGAAGACGCGCAGCCTCGGCCTGGCGAAATAAAACTGATGAGCTGTGAAGTATTGAGAAATGGAAAAGGGAAGACGGGTCTAAAGCTCAGTTTGTAAAGTAAAACTGCATGTTGGCATCGGTGGCATCACTTCTCGGCTATGACCAGCAGCTCGTGATCGTCCTCTTCCCAGTTTCATATTTTAGAAAAGCTTCCAGGGAAATATTCGTTGTCATGTGTTGCACTAGGGATGGAAATAAGCAAGGAGAGGATTGTGGGTGCAGAAAGAGAACAAAGAATCCCTCCACTCATGTCCTTGAATCCTCTGGAAGGCCGGGGGAAATGACAGGTAACGCTCTTCAACCAGGGCTTTGGAGCGAAAGCTCTGTAGAGACGCCACAAAACTCAGGTCAAGTCTGAGGATTTGGTTCAAGCAAACATGGAAGCATTGTCGAGTCTCTTTTTTTTCACTTCAGTGACATGCAGCATCAGGACAAGACAAGACACAACTGCCCCACTGATGACCGTCAGTTCACCTGCTGCTGTGGATGCTTATAAAGTCGCAGAGACGAAACCAGACACCTGCTGGAAGCCGGCTGTGTGGAGATCAGTGGGAGCGGCAGACAGGTGGCTGACAGGCATTAATGTGATGAAGGGGAGAGGGAGAGGGAGGGAGAATCGGTGCCTGGACAGAGCGGCTGTGATCGGGGGTGCGGCCGCCCCGCTGTGACCGGACACATCTGACCGATAGCTCACAGCTGGACGTCCATGTCTGCCTGTCAGGTCTCGGAGCGGAGCCCAGTAGGAACTCTGCACTGCTGATATCATTTAATGGCTGTGTACATAACCCCACGCCTGCTTCACTGTCTCCAGGGAATCCCGGCATTACGCCAGGTTACAGATGATGACGCAAACGATGATTGACAGCTGTGTATTCGTGAGACGGTGTTGCTCACAGGGGACGGGGGACGGGGACGTACAGTAAGAGTGGTGTACTGTCTGCAAAATGAAATCAAAACCGGTCACAGGGAAATGCTGTTTATCTACACGGTTCATGTTTCATAATAAATGTATAAGCATTGATGGAAGATCCAGAGTGTTTGTTGGAGTCAAACAATAGACTCGGTGCAGAAAAACAACAAACCCTAAATGTAATAATAATAACTCAATAATATCCATACAGAAATTGCAAAAATATAACACGTTTTGTTTTTTTAATTCGACAAACGCCTGATTGTAAAGTCTATTCATGACTGCGTGTGGTATCAAAACTTGAATACTTTAAACGTAAAAATGTCTTTTCAAAAGGAAAACTGGAAGAAGAAGAAGAAGAAGAAAGGCGGGATATAATGCAGGAACATTATACTCTGTAAAGTGTGTCAAATCCAAGCTCTTACCAAACAGAGTTCTAGTAACTGCAGCAAATCAAAGCACTGTGAAATTAACCACTCACTCAGCATGCTATCAAACACCAGCCCCGGCGCTTCGGGAGCCACTGCTTCTTTGTGCACGTCTGTGTGTGTGTGTGTGTGTGTGTATGCGACATGTGCACGTATGCACAGACGGCGTCGGGGATGGAGGAGGATGCTATAACGGGACGTAATGTGTGTGTGTGTGAACTCTGATGTAAACAGTAGAACCTGTTTCTTTTTCTGTGAATCTATGTAGGATGTTGTTTTATTGTTTTTTTCGCCCTCTTTCTCCGCAAGCTTTTTTTTCACAAAAGAAAGGAAAGAAAGTGATGTTGAAAACAACTTAAATCCTCCCTGTGTTCAGTCCCGACTGTTTCTGAGTCCTCTTGTAATGGCAGGTCAAGTGCATCTGATATGTACAGTACAGGATCCATGATCGGGGTGCAAAAAGGGGAAGAGTTCTATTTGGCAGGCTGTGAATACTTCACTCTGGAAGAAAAAATGAAACAAACTTGTCCTTTTGTCCGTGGTGAGAGGAAACATGGTGAGACGGAATTCTTCATCACAAAAATTTCACACAATATAGAAAATGACTTGCAATTTTTTTTCTTTTTCTTGAGTGTTGATTTCACTGTGTGAACTGTCAGTCTGAATGAATGTGTGTTTTGACATCAGTCTATGCCACATGTTGTCCATTTCATGTTGAGGAGGGCCCCGTCGGGCCCCTCACTCTCCTCTCTGCTTTGCCTTTCAGGAGGCCGCTGAGAGCCGTTTCCTCATGATGTCCAAAATTAAAAAAAGATGCAAAGACAATATCCACACCTTGTTGAGGACGGCCTCGTCTCCCCGGCTCTTTCTTCTTTTCTTTTTCTTTTTTCTTTTCCCTTTTAAAGGGAAGCTTTCCTACTCACTCCGTCTAGTGTACAAGCTGATATCATCTATACATTTAGATAAACTCCTTGCCTTTTCTCCGTTTTCTTTTTTTTTTTTCTTTAAAAAAATTCTTTACAAAGTTATCAGAAGAAACCAACAAAAAAAAGAAATGAAAGAAAGTTCAACGTCAAATAAAAAACTGGTGGAAGATTGAAAAATGTGTTGCTGGCTCCATAGATGGGTCTGCTGTGTCCCTCTGATGTCACTTTGACTTTAGTTTCCACGACTCTCCACAGCTGATCCCAAAGATGCAGCGAGGCAGAGTCGCGGTGAGGGGGACCAGAGGACAGAGGGGGGGGGGGGGGGGGGGGGGGGGGGGG